TTTAAAAGAAAAGAATAACTGATTAGATGAAAATCGAATAATGCAAAAAAAAAAAAATTTCTTTCGCAGGCTGCACACTGGCTCAACGCGAGGCAGACGCGGCACGCGAGACAGGTCTGGGCCGGGCGCGGCACGGACGTGGGACATACACGACATGCGGGACGAATACAGAGCGGAGGAACGGAAGCGGTTCGGGGGACTGAATCGACGCGCGGGAACGGGGAACGGGGAACGGATGCAACACGCGCGGCGGATGCGGGACTCATGCGGTACGCGGGACGGATGCGTCTACGCGAGGCAAATGCGGCACGCGGGACGGATTCGCGATGGACGCCGGACTTATGCGACCTGCGAAACGGATGTGACACGCAGGACGAATGCTGCACCCGGAACAGCACGCGGGATGGAGTTTGCCCACTACTGAACTTGAAGAAAATAAATAAAATAATAAAAAAAAAAAAGAGAAGACGAAACTGTGATTCCAGTAGCATTCTATATAACCCTAACCCTAACCCGTGATCCATTGGGGCACTGACGGTTCAGGTTATAAAACACTGAAGTTCATTTCAACGTTCCATTGAAATTAAATTTAATTTATTATGATAACAGTTAAATATTACAATCCCTTCATGTCATCATTGGTCTGGTTTACAAGTTCATGGTTAACGTTTTACTGATTATTTACAGCATTTAATAGGAATAAAACTTCTGGGATGAACCTTTAATCAGATTTACTTAAAAATAATTTTAATATGCCAAAAAATATTTTTGAATCATATTCACATGAAAATATATTTTAAATATGCCAAAAAGTAGTTTTTTTAAATATTCAAAATATTGTTTCTTTAAAGAAAGCTGAGATAATTACTCTACAAACAATTGGACGAAACGGCAAAGCGGGATCTCTTTGTGTCTGTCTTTAACATAAAAACATTTTAATTAAAAAATTTTCTGTCTGAAGAAAGTTAAAATAAAAATACTTACTGTATAAACAACACGTATTTTTAAATCTTATTCACTTAAAATATTTTTTTAAATCAGATTAACTCAAAAATTATTTTTAAATATTTAAAATATTGTTTGTTTTAAGAAAGCTGAAATATAAATAATTACTCTCTAAACAACTGGACGAAACAGCAAAGCGGCATCTCTTTGTGTCTGTCTTTAACTTTAAAATATTTTAATTTAAAAAAATTGTCTGTTTGAAGAAAGTTAAACTAAAATTACTTACTGTATAGACAACTCGTAAATCATTATGAGCCGGACGAACACACCACTCAACCACAGACCTTTAGTATTAGATAGATAGATAGATAGATAGATAGATAGATAGATAGATAGATAGATAGATAGATAGATAGATAGATAGATAGATTGTTCATACAATCCATGCTAAGATCATCCATATCTGAAAAGTAACCCTCGCCTTTACGAATTAAAGCGCAGTACAAGGTGGGCAGCTAGATACAACCGTAAGTTCTATGCTAATAGGTTCTTCTCTCGCAATTCTCGCTAGTGGAACTCTCTCCTGGCTTTTCTTTTTCTTTCTAGTCAACTTTGATCTTCAAAAATTAAAATGCAAATGTCAAATCTCTTCTCCCTCCCTAATAATGTTTTCATATTCTCGTAAGGTTTGACACACAGAAACTCCCTTGCGTCATAGTGGCTTTATTGCCTTGGTTGGGGTGAAATTATTTTTTTAAATATATAGGTCCCTTATTTTAAAACTACATTAGATGTTGCTACAATAAAAGAAAGGGACTAAAAAGAAAGAAAAGACCAGAAGAGAGTTCCACAAGCGAGAATTGCGAGAGAAGCACCTGTTAGCATAGGTAGAACGGCTTCTTTTTTTTGTAAGGTTAGTGAGTTCCGGCCCATCCAAGTAACAGGTTTATCAGGCTTTCATTTGGAATCGCTGCCATCCAAGTATATTAGCCGTGTGCAAAAGTTTCCAGTATTTTAAAGCAGCTTTCTATACTGTATTGTCTCTAGCTTTTAAAAAAAAAAAAAAAAACAAAAGGCAATTGCTGTGAACTTACGCACACACCTAATATCTATCCGTATATAACCCATATGTTTAATATTAAAAGAAAAAACAATGCACCCATTTGGCAATGACGCCTTAGTCCACTTCATGATATTCCTTCGGGCCCTCACCCGCTTAACCCGGCCTCTCTTCAATTTTTGAAAACAGCGTGCAAATTTTTCTTTCGGGATTGCCAGAAAAACAAATGAGAAAATATAACGTATGAAATGTACTATAATTATTATTATTATTATTATTATTATTATTATTTTTTCTTTGATTTCTGTTTTATGCACATTTGATTCAGGGTCCCAACCAGAGACCAAGGGTAAAACATTGGCTTCATGAGATTTTCCACTGATCATTTGTGCAAAACAAAATAAATTTATTTAAATAATGAGATTATATACTTATTATTACTTATATGCAGATGAAACGAATGAATCCCGATTGCCTCCATAGCTCAGTGGTTTAGAGCGCTGGTCTCGTAAATCAGAAGTCGTGAGTTCGAATCTCACTGGAGGCATTGATTTTGTTTTTTGTCAATGAAGGAAGATTCAAACGCTAACGTTGAATTTCCCATCACAGTACTGCATTTACCTATATCTGCTTATTTTGATTTAATATTTTATTATTTACATTTAACTGCATATAGTAATTAATATTAGTATTTATATTCGTCCATTATTTATTATTATTATTTTTATTAGTAGTAGTGGTAGTAGTTGTAATAGTATTTCTTTTGATTTCTGTTATATATGCATTTCTTTCCGGGCCCCAACCAGAGATCTAAGAGCCAGAAATGATTCTGAATAAACGTGTTCTTTCTGCGTCAATTTTCTTTAAGATTACCTTAAGGCTTATTTAAGGCTAATCCTTATTCCTTCTGTCCATGGAATTCTCAGTATGCTACTGTAGAGAGGAGCTACTCAACATTCACTGCCATATAAGAAGACGCATACTAAACAGCAATCCAGCATTCTCTTCTTGGTTTCTAACAAAAAAAAATGATCGTTTCTCAGCATCTTGCTCGGCCTTTGGAATGCTACTTTCGTAGCCCAATGCGTACTTCGGATCTCGGTGCCGCATTTTCCATCCTCTGTTAAAATACTTCCCGGATATGCACCTGCCGGATGTTGATATCTTTAATTTTTAACCCGCATCTGGGCCCCGTTTTCCTGCTGATGAGCATACTTTCTGTCTTCTTGCAATTGATAGTTTGTCCTTTTGTCTCTCTTTCTTCTATCACCCTGTCGAGGAGGTCATGTAGTTCTCTTTTCAACTCAGCCAACAACACTCTCATCTACGTATCTTATATTGTTAAGATTACATCCACCGATAGTAAATCCTGGTAGAGTCTCCAGTTCCCCGGCGCCGTAGAGATTGAATAAATCTGGGGAGAAGACGCATCCTTGTTCACACCCTTTCTATTTTTGTTTAGCTACTCAATTTATTTTCGATACGTATACAAGCGGTTTGCCCCCAGTATAAGTTCTAACATCCTTTCCGGATAGGTCGAGTTTTCCTAGCAGTTCAAATAGATCCTCGTGCCGTACCTTGTCAAATGTTTCTCAGTAATCTATAAAACATACATTCAGGTCCTTCTGCAGTTGCATTTCTCTCTGACGTAACTCTCATCATGAATATCGTGTTTTTTTTGTTCCATTGTTTTTGACAGAGACGCACTGTTTTGTCCTATTTTTTGGTTCAATTCTGCTTCGGCCTCTTTGCATCAGGATTCGAATCATTAGTTTGATCATGTGGCTCATTAAACTGATTGTCCGCTGGAGCTTGCATTCGTTTACACCTGGTCTCTTGCGTAATGTCACGAAGATGAATTTAATGACGTCTTCCGGTATGTCGCCACTTTGTATATTCCGTTTATAACTTGTTATCTTACCAGTGCCGAACTTGTCTAAGGCAGAAAGCATTTCTGTTACTCTTGTGGCGTCCTCCTCTAAAAAGTCTATGTTGTACTATAAAATTAGTAGGAGAGAAGGCCCTAGGAGGACAGTCGAATAGATTGAACGCTGGGTCAACCGATACACACTCACTAGTCGAGTTTAATATATGATATATATGCAGCACTTGTTTTATTTCTTTAACCATTTACTTGGTCACAACATCTTATGTTATAGTAGCTGAAAGAGTTCAACATAGACTCTTTAGAGCAGGGGGTTCTTAACCGGGGGTATCCATACCCCTTGGGTGTATGGGAACCAAATGCTGGGGGTATGGGACTCGATTTCTGGGAAATAATGCAAGAAGTCAAGATTCATTTGGAAGTTCTAAGTACAAATTTTGAGGGTTACTTTTCAGATGTTGATGATCTTAGCATGGATTTGATTTGGATACAAAAACCCTTTCTCATTTTGATATATCGAGAATGGTGATAACGATTTATCAAAGGATGATCCTGATTTCGAAAAAGGGCTGGGATGGATGTCCAGTTTTGTGTGTACAAATCTCTGCTTACCCATGTTTGGCAATTAGGGTAATGCATGTTTTGGTTCCCTTCACAACTACGTATCTCTATGGAACAGGATTTTTGAATTATTAAATCTGAAATCAAAATGGGAAAACGACTTGATGTGTCAGATGACATGCAAGTAGCTTTGTTTGTACCACGATTTCATGCTTTGATTGCACAAAAACAACAGCAAATATCTCACTAGAATAGTAAAAGTCTATTTTATGGAGTTGAGATAATAAAAAGACTTGCATATTTATTTTCTCTTTCTTTTTTCTTGTGTAATAAAAATAAATTATAACTTTATTTTGCTTTCAGTAAAAAAAAAAAAATATAATAACGTTATCAATGCTTATGGTTTTTTTTTTTTTTTGTTTTTTCATGTTCTATTCCTAGCAATCCATATCTAAAATACAGTAAATTCAAGCGATTGAAATATTTGGAAGACATATTGGTAAATAATAGGATTGGTGATAATTATTTTGACAGTCAAGTAAAGCGGGTATGGGACCATATTGGACAATCCGTTGGGGGTCTGGAATCATCAAAAGGTTAAGAATCCCTGCTTTAGAGGTAGGACACCACAACAGTTACGATCTCATCAGTCCCTGTTAATCTGTTCAACTTCATCTTCTCCATTTTATGATCTTACTTCAGTTTTTAATATTTGTAAGCGTTCTGAAAGCAAAGGAAGTATTTGTCGCAGATTACTTCCACAACCCAAAGAAAAATTACTGAAAGTACAGACTCGAATATCGGGGGCAGAAAGAAATGCTGAAAACTCGATTCGCCGGTACTATCTCACAAATCACAGTGCACGTAACCAGTCAGAAAAATAACTCACTTACTAACAAACGCTGTGGCCAAAAATGCCCGAATTTTCCTCTTTCGAACCAAGAACACCAACTGCTTTTATCGGCAGAACCTATTTTTTTCATTCGACAGCTGGGATAGGATGTTCAGTAATTTGCATATCAAAATACATTTTATAGCGACTCCTGCGATGGACTTGTTTTTTTTTTAATTCAATTATTCCATTTTCAGCATATTATGCGGAATACGTGCCCTTTTGTTTGGTAAGTAATTTTCTTTTTTCGCCACTTTTACACGCGACGCGCTGTCGCTTGGTTTGACGAGGTAAGTCGCCATTTTCTTCGCTACAATATTTCTGGTCCTAACGTATTTTCAAGGGTTATAACTCTCTCTCTCTCTCTCTCTCACACACACACACACACACACACACACACACACACACACATCGTGAAAAAGTTCTCTGACGCGTTCGCTCAACCTTTGGAATATTTCTTTTCTTTTTTAATTATCAATGATTCTTCCTTTGATTTTACACGGCCCTTTGGTTGGCACATCTTTCGTTTTGTTCTTTCTTCTATTCTGTTGTGGTAGACTCGCTACATTTCTGTTGTTTATCCTCTATACTTCTACGCACTTTTCATTGAACCATTCCTCTTTAGCCTGCCTCCATTTGTTTTTGATTTCTGTGTTTAGTGTTCAGTATTCTTTGCCATTCCTTGGCCTTGCTTGTTGTTTCTTTTTAATCATCTCTAGAATTTTCTGCCACCCACCCGTTCCTTTCTTGTTTCAATTTCTTTGGGATGACCTCATTCGCCAACGTCACTAGAGTTTTTCTCAGCTTGTCCCACTTTGATTTTGTCATCTTGTTCAAATTATATTCGTTTATAACCTTGCAACTTGGGTCATTCGGGAGTTTGCCGTATTGCAGTTTAGGCGTTGTTTTGGTCTTCTTTGGTTTACGTAGTTATACTCTGGTGTAACACATGACTGGAAGATGATCACTCCTGCAGTCGGCACTTGGGAATGTATTGCAGTGTAGAACTGCAATTCGGAAACTTTTGTTGATAGTTGCGTAATCAATAGTGCCTCAAGTACCAGGTCTTGTTGATTATTTGCTTGTTTATCGTGCACCAATGGACCCATCTATCGCAGCGCTCGTTTCGGGGTCCCAGTTCCGAAGTTGCCAACAATTCCGTCTTCTCACCTTTTTCGGACCTTGGCGTTCAGGTCTCCCATGATCATAGTAAGTTCTTGCGATTGTCAATGGAGTAGTAAAAGTTATCGATTTCCTCCTCCGTGCTCTGCGCTGTCGATGCACATACAATGATAAATTGTTATGTCAAAAGACTTCCCTTTTAGTTTGACTAAAAGGATTCTCTCTGAGATTTGGCTATATACCAGGATACTTTTTTCCATGTCATTTAACCCTACACTTCTCTCATTTTTTCTCCCCGTCATAATGTATTTTCTGTGTATGCCGCCTACATGCCCACCTAGTTTCGCATACGCCAATAATGTTGATATTTAATCTGTTCATCATATTTGAAGCTAGCCACGTTGGTATACCGTTCTTATGTTACAGGTCACTATTGAACAGTCGCTGGATAGTGGCCCGGTGACACCTGTCGCTTATGTCTATCCTTACCGGGCGAGTCGTTGCCAAGGAACTTAACCTCCTTTACGCCGTTATTCTTTATATTCATTCTGCAGCAAGTCGCTGTCTAACGGTTAGGGGACATATGTTGCACATGTCTTCCCGTACCGGACGAGAAGTTATCTCCAGTGTTTTTAAGCCCCTTCATGCCGTCCTCTGTAATTTTTATGTTATTTATTACCATGATTATTCTTTGAACAGGTAGTGGAGTGGTTTTCCTTTGCCTTCTCCACGGTGTTTTTATTGAGACACCAACTCGAGGTAGTTGCCTATCGTAATCTTTTTCTCGAGTCCACCAGTTTTAATTAGCCATCTGCTTTCTTGAAATCTTCATAGCAACCACAAACGCAGCCAAACACAACAAAACACATCCCCACGAATGACATGAATTGACGACTGTATTTAAATGCCACCCTCCATCCACTAACATCAAAATACCCTCTCGACAGCCTTGGTTTGATTGGTCGAAAAAGTGTGACAATTAAACTTTCAACTTAAACTCAGTAAACATCGGCGACGACCTTAACATAATATACGCAGGTGACTCGTTACTGATACCAGACACAGAAATGAAATTACAAAATCTCGTACAGAAGATAGCGATGGAGAGCGAGAAGAAAGGACTAAGCATAAACTACAAAGACAGAATGATAAATCGAAAGGTGTTTGGTGAAGCCCGATAACTTGGCGACGTAAACCATTTACATAGCTGTTGAACTGTAGATGTATATATATATATATATATATATATATATATATATATATATATATATATGTGTGTGTGTGTGTGTGTGTGTGCGTGTGTGTGTGTGTGTGTGTGTAGAAGCGTATATATGTATATCTGTCTATATATCTGAGATAAGTTGTAATTATTTACACTATTTATTTATTATTTACACTATTTACATTGTTCAGACTGTTGTCATCATCTTCGTTGCCATGTTCACGACATTTCGGCCGTTGTACGCTCCGGTCTTCTTCAGGATCTGTCTATATTTCTGAGATGAGGTTTTGTAATTATTTACACTATTTACATTGTTCGGACTGTCGTCCTCATTTTCATTGCCATATTGCTCCGGCCTTCTTCAGCTGATTGGAAGTCCTCAAGGACACATAGACCAGAGGATAAAAGTGTTGGTTGAATCCAGTGACTTATCCCATAGAGTTGTGAGTTCAATACCTGGCTAAAGCAGAGGTGAACAAATAACTTGGAGAGTTAAGTTAAAAGTTAACTTTTACCGAGACATCCGGAAGAGTCATGGCATGTGGAGCTAGAGCAATATACCCCGGTGGGCGAAATAAAAGGTTCAATTCGAAATACCAATCACCTGGAGAAGGCCAGAGCGAGCAACGACGGAAATGTCGTGAATATGGCAACGAAGATAAGGATGACAGTGCGAGCAATCTAAATGGCGTAAATAATTGTAGACGCGTATGTTTACGTTGACAAGATGGTCTCAACGTAATTGCAAGGAGTGTTTTTGTTTGTTTGTTTGTTTTTTGGTTTTTTTTTTTTGTTTTTACCTTGTCGCAATATTTGATCAATACAATAGATCTAAACTTGCTAATTTGTTTTCGTTGTTCGTCGTCTGAATTACTTAGCGAAACAAGAGACGTGTTCAGACAAAAACGTGACGTCAAAAATATCCGAAAGTAATATACGAAATAATATATATATATATATATATATATATATATATATATATATATATATATATATCGAAAAGAAATATTAAATGATTTATTGTTTTTTTGTCTTTTTACTTTAGCCCTCCAAACACTGTCCACTAAAAATGTAAAAAGAAATTGGCATTTTATATCTAACGGAATAGTAAGAGCGTTGGTTAATTGTCGGATAATGATACGAAAATATTGACCTTACTCCATCTTTTTGACACATTTTTTTTTTTTTTTTGTCACGGGCTTTTGTTTTAGCTATACTTTTTCTTTGACATTTTTTCTTCTATAATTGTCCTTTCTTTTTATCTTCCTCTCGTCCTTCTAGTGCCGTCCTTTTTTTTCTTTCTTTCTTTATTTCTTTCTTTCTTCTACAGTTGGCCTTTCTTTGTTCTTCGTTTCGTTCGTCTTTTGTCGCCTTTCCTTTTTTTTCTTTTTTCTCCTATTTTTGTTTCTTTCTTTATTTTATTGTCCTTCTTTCTTTTTTCTTCCTTTTTTCTTTCTTTCTTCTATTGTTGTCTTTTCCTTTTTCTTTCTTTCTTTTTTCCTATCTTTCTTCTGTTGTCGTCCTTTCTTTTTTTTCCTCCTTTCTTTTTCTTCCTTTCCATTTCTTCCTTTCTTTTTCTTCCTTTCTTGCTTCTATTGTCGTCCTTTCTCTTTTCGTTCTTTCTTTCTTTCTTTCTTTCTTTTTTCTTCTATTGTCGCCTTTCTTTTCTTTTTCTTTCTTTCTCCTTTTGTTGTCCTTTCTTTTTTCTTTCTTTATTGTCGTCCTTTCATTTTTTTATTTCTTTCTTTATTTTATTGTCCACCTTTCTTTTTTCTTCCTTTCTTCATTCTCTCTTTCTTCTATTGCCGTTCTTTCTTTCTTGCTTTCTTTCTTCTATATTTCTCCTGTTTTTTCTTCCTTTCTTTCTTTTATTCCCTTTTCTTTTTTTATTTCCTTCTTTTTTATTCCTTTCTTGCTTCTATTGTCGTCTTTTCTCTTTCCTTTCTTTCTTTCGTCTATTGTCGTTCTTTCTATTTTTTTTCCTTCTTTCTTCTTTCTGTCCTACCATGTTTTCTTCTTCTTTTCTTTCTTCTAATATCGTCTTTTCTTTCCCCTTTCTTTTTCTTCTATTATCGTCTTTTCATTTTTCTTTCTTTCTTTCTTTCATCTATCGCTGTCCTTTGATTTTTCTTTCTTTCTTTCTCTATTTTTCTCTTCCCATTTAATTTATTTCTCTATTTTTCTTAATGACAATGTTTCGTTCTTTCTTTCTCTCCTACTTTTTTTCTTATTTACTTGATTATTACTTATTACATTGGCTATATATCATATCCTTTTTCTTCAGGTCTCTTCAGATCGTAGGCGATCATGACTCTCCACAATTTCCTGTCCTTTCTAGCTCTAAAATATATTGACGTTTTGTTATCTTCCCTTACTCCGCCATTCATTCACTTGAGCACACTACGTAAAATATGCGGTTTTCATCAGTCCCGCTTCAGCCTGCCCTGCCCTATCGGCTGGGGCTTCAGAATACGCCGACCGAACCTTTGCTGAGGGGTAAGACCCCTCCCCACAAATGAAGCGTCCTGGGTAAGACGATAAACTACATCCGACAGCAAGGTCTCTGATCAGATTTTGAAAAGCGTGGATCTTTTCTTTCCTTAAAACTTCTCCCTGTTGCAATTATGCAATCTTACCTTAAGACTTCTTTTCCGTTGCAATTTTCTTTCCTTAAGAGTTCTTCCTGTTGCAATTTTGCAATCTTTCCTTAAGACTTCTTTTCCGTTGCAATTTTCTTTCCTTAAGAGTTCTTCCTGTTGCAATTTTGCAATCTTTCCTTAAGACTTCTTTTCCGTTGCAATTCTCTTTCCTTAATAGTTCTTCCTGTTGCAGTTTTGCAATCTTTCCTTTAGAATGCTTTTCTGTTGAAATTTTCTTTGCTTAAGAGTTCTTCCTGTTGCAATTTTGCAATCTACTCTTAAGATTTATTTTCTGTTGCAATTTTCTTTCCTTAAATCTTCTCCCTGTTACAATTATGCAATCTTTCCTTAAGACTTCTTTTCCGTTGCAATTCTCTCTCCTTAATAGTTCTTCCTGTTGCAGTTTTGCAATCTTTCCTTTAGAATTCTTTTCTGTTGAAATTTTCTTTGCTTAAGAGTTCTTTCTGTTGCAATTTTGCAATCTCCACTTAAGATTTATTTTCTGTTGCAATTTTCTTTCCTTAAAACATCTCCCTGTTGCAATTTTGCAATCTTTCCTTTAGACATTTTTCTGTTACAATTTTCTTTAAGATTTCTTTAAGGCTAATGCTTATAACTGATCAGATTTTGAGAAGCGTTGGTCTTTTCTTTTTCTCTGGTCTCGGTAATAGTACTGTCGTGTGTCTATTATGCGGTCTGTGGCAACGTCTCTTCATACTGAGGATACCAGGTTGACAGTTTTCTAGTTGCTGGTATTTAGGTGCCCTAACTCTTTCGTAGCGTCTTGAGCGGCTGCTCTGATCAACAAGTGCATAATATCGGGATGCTTGTAGTGCCATGTCGCGCATGGAAGGGTGTCCCTTCACGAACCTCCGGTGGGCAACCCCAGGACCACATTATCTTGCAGGCTGCGCCAGCCTTTTTCTATCCATGTCACATCTGATGAACAATAGTGTGATAAAACGAATAGAAAAGGAATTACTAAAGCTGTGTATACAGATATATCCCTTTTCGTACGTATGTGCGAATGACGTTCCTATAAAGGATTGTGTGAGACTTACATTTGAAAAAAATTCTTTATCTGGTGTTTTGACATAATTATTAAGCATGTCTACTTTTATTCCAATAAGCTTTAGGCACTAAAAGCCGTGTAGTATTCTGTGTTATGTTCAGCGCGACATGAGATTCGCCGGAGACTGAGAGGACCACCAAAGAGAATCGAGATACTCCCTACTTCTAGAAAGACATCGTGTGGGTAAAGACAAAGAAAGGGAATGGGAGTTTTGCGCCCGTTTCTTTGGCAATGTCATCTAGTGGCTGCTAGCAGAAGTCCTTTGACAAACAAGTGTGGTAAATCCATTAGTGTTTTTAAAAGATGGCAACAAAATGAAATCTAGAAATATTCTGAAGCCTTTTCTTACGTATTTCCGAGTAGTGTATGAAGCAAAATGACCTGGAAAATGTAAAAAAAAAAAAAAATATTATCAGCGGAAACCGGAAGTTGTTTTACAAAATAACAAGCAAAGTATTCTGGGATCTTGATATCAAGACCGTCAATGTGGGGATTTTTATACCCTTTCAGTTTCTGAGACCAATAATTTGTCCTCTACAGAAGATAAGCATGTGAGAAAACAGGAAAAAAGCAATCTTGAGTGGACAAAAAGGTTATATATCAGAAAGAGGAAGAAAAAAAGGAAAGATAGAAAAAATTGGGCTTAAAAATCGTTGCAAAAAACATTGGTTTTTGCGAGGACTTAACTGGTGGCAGTAAAGTTCGTTCAGTTAACAGTTCTTCTCATTTTTGTTGCAACGTCGGAATATCTTCGTCTTTAGGTCGAAGAGGGATTCAGTTTTTGGGTGCCTTGCTGTAATTGTTGGGATATCCTCGTTCCTACGTTCTGTTCTTGGATATTCTAATTCCGGACACCATGTGACTGTTGGTTGAGTTTTACAGAGCTAAATTTGTCCGTGTTGACGCGTCGGTGGTACAGGAAAAAGAGGCCGGTGATGGGCTGCTTAATGCCCATCACAGCGGCCGGTGATAACGACCCCTTGGAAGAGAGGCAATTGTTTTATCTCTATAATAATTTCAATATCGTCTAACCCATCCGGGCAAGAAACTATATTTGGTAGTTACAAACAGGAATAAATAGTCTTCCAAATTATGAACCAGTGTTTCTCAGCCTTTTTTGTCCAATGCACCCTTTTCATCATAAGTCAGAATTATCTCCCACTTTCCAAGACTGTACGACTCAAAAGGTTCAATCCAAATGATATGCATATATTATTGAAAATCTTTATTCTTTTTTCATATTAGTACGAAGGTGAGACCAAATAAAACGATTTGTTAGAAAATCTTACTGTTCCAGATCGGCATAAAAGTGAAAAGATTTTCGAGAAATGCTTGTAAATGTCTTTCCTGTGTGCATAAATGGAATTTTTCGCGACTGACTGAAGACTGTCTTTTTATGACAGGTGACCTGTGTAAAGCGGATTAACATTGACATAAGGGCATATAAAGGAAGCTTATAGTCTTTTATCTGTTTTCTGTTCAACTTACACTAGCCAGATGCCAACTCCGTCACACACCACGGGAAGATAATATTAAGGCTTTTTGTAATTCGAAACTTAAGTTATAAAAACATTTTACAAAATATGTCTTAATATGGGGACGATTTTCCAAATGCTATAAGCAAAAATCAGACTTGTAAGATAACATTCTTTGTTTTTAACGCTTTACAATAAGTTAAATGATGATAGAAATATTAATGGAGAATTAAGCATGGAACATTGAAATGCAGCCAATTGGTTAATCCCACCCAGGGCACGGCACCAAATGTAGTAACCGTGATTAAAAAAGATTTGTTATACGTAGCTTTTGTTTTGTATTGTTTTGTTGCTTTTTTTTTTTTTTTTTTTTTTTTTTTTTTTTCATCCCAAGTAAGGCGGGAGTGCCACTAGCACGCAAGTGAGAGTAGGAGTAAAGAGGGGTGTTTGAGGAAAGGAGAAAGAGAAAGACGGGGATCAAGATCAAGGCATCAGAAGACGTCGATCGACATTACATTTGAATATTTGAAGATTATAGCAAGTAAGTAATAGGAAGGGAGTTCCACTGTCAGGAAGTGCGAGAGGAGAAGCTGTTGGAATGGAAGAGGCGGTTACATTTAACTGATTTAACAGTGAAAGGGTGGGATCACGCACGCTTAAATTCATGCAGTTGCGGCACCAATGAAAATAGCTCTTCAGAGCAGTTGCTATGAAAATATTTGTAGAAATGACAGAGGGAAGCCACATCACGTTTCTGAGAAAGTGACTGAGGTCGAGATGCCAAGTCAGGACCTATCATATTGCATATCCGTCTGTGGATTTTGTCGAGAATCTCGAGATGAACATCGGGAGCACCAGACCACATATAGCAACAGTATTCAATGAAAGGACGTATGGTAGATTTGTAGATTAGAAGGATGAACTCGCGACACAGAGAACCCACTTTCCTTGCAGTAGATGAAGCTATTGATTTCTCTGGTACAAGTGTAAATGTTTGTATATAATTTTGTGTATGACTTAGTTTTTTTTTTTTTTGTTTGTTTGTTTTTTTTTAAGCATTACGCCCCGAGCAAGGCGTGAAGCCACTAGGATTTAGGGGGTTGCGGAAGATTTGGAGCGAGAGCAGGTAGGAATGATAGAAGAAAGGATGAGGAGAGGGATAGTGGATAGATCAAGGTAACTGGAGATGTCGGTTGACATTACATTTGAACAGTTGGAGATTATAGCTCTCAGGGAAACAGTAATTGGGGAGGATGTTCCACTGGCGAGAGGTGCGAGGTATGAAGCTATTGGAGTAGAAGAGACGGCTACATTTAAAAGTTTCTACAGTGTAAGGGTGGGAGCGGGATGCCAGCCTCGTAGGGCGCTTGAATTGATGGAGTCTGGGGACCAGTGAAAGCAGCTCATCAGAGCAATTACCATGGAAGTATTTGTAAAAAAAGACTGAGAGAGGCGACGGCGCGTCTGTGAGAGAGTGACTGTAGACGAGACGCCAGATCAGGGCCAATTAGATTACATATCCGTCTCTGGATCTTCTCAAGAACTCCGAGGTAAGCAGAAGGTGCTCCAGAAAACTCTCTCAAAGAACAAAGCATGTTTGTCATTCCTTTTCTTTTAGTTATTCCGTCCCTTCCGTGTTATTATATCATGGATATAATAATGCCGATAATGGGGGAATTCAAACTGAGGGAATATACCTCTTCATGTATAATTCAACCATTATCTTAACACAATTTTTCAAAAGTATGTTTGTTGAGTTCTTTATTCTGTTATTGCTCTTTCCAGTGTTGATGGAGGTTTCTTTTCTAACATTTTGTTTGAGTTAGCGTATAATGTCAGCATCTTGATTAGGTTATTACTTTCTTTCCAAGTTATATGGGATAATCCCTTTTAATTGTTGCTGTTGTGAAAAGTCCTAAAGTGATATAATTTCTGTTATATGGTACAGGTCCTAATGGTGAACTTTGAGAAAGGAAGGATAAGACCAGTGAAAGAAAGAAAGAAAGAAACAAACAAACAAATTACAACGAAAAGAAAAAGAAAGAAAGGACGGAAGTAAGAGATGAAGAAAGAAACAAACAATTTAGAAAGAAAGAAAGAAAGAAAGAAAGAAAGAAAGAAAGAAAGAAAGAAAAAGATGGAAGGAAGAAAGAGATGAAGAAAGAAAGAAAGAAAGAAACAAACAAACAAATAAATTAGATCAAAAGAAAAAAAAGATGGAAGAAAGAAAGAAAGAAAGAAAGTAAGAAAGAAAGAAAGAGATAAAGAAAGAAAGAAAGAAATAAACAAATTAGAACGAAAGAAAGAAAAGATGGAAGGAAGAAAGAGATGAAAAAGAAAGAAACAAACAATCAAACAAAAAACAAACAAATTAAAACAAAAGAGAGAAAGGAAGGAAGGAAGGAAGGAAGGAAGGAAGGAAGGAAGGAAGGAAGGTGAAAGAAAGAAAGAGATGAAGAAATAAACAAACAAACAAATTAGAAAGAAAGAAAGAAAGAAAGAAAGAAGTAAACAAAGAAACAAAAAACAAACAAATTAAAACAAAAGAAAGAAAGAAAGAAAGAAAGAAGGTAGGTGAAAGAAAGAAAGAAAGAAAGAAAGAAAGAAAGAAAGAAAGAAAGAAAGAAAGAAAGAAATTTCCTTTCTTACTTTCTTGAAGATATGAAGAAAGAAAGAAAGAAAGAAACAAACAAACAAATTAGAACAAAAGAAAGAAAGAAAGAAAGAAAGAACGAAAAGATGGAAGGAAGAAAGAGATGAAAAAACAAACAAACAAACAAATTAAAACAAAAGAAAGAAAAAATGAAAGAAAGAAAGAAAGAAAGAAAAAGAAAAGACGAGCAAAGCAAGAAAGAAAAATGGGGACATAAATAAACATATAGAGAAAAAAGAACGACAGAAAGATAGTAAGAAAACCAATAAAGAAATTAAGTATAAAAAGTAAAAAAAGAAAAATAAATAAGGTAAAAAAAGGAAGGAACAAATCAAAAAAAGGAGAAAAAAAAGAAAGAAAAAAGAAAATCAAAGGAAAAGGAAGACGCTCAATCAAAAGCTCGTAAAATGCAAGAATTTCTTTTTTATTGCAATAAAAAAAAAGATAAAAAATAAGAGCCAAAAAAATTCAGTTCCATTCTTTGGAATAACAAACAAACCTGGATGTGCAAACATATTTTTCTGGGTAAATATTTACAGTTGTCTATTTAAAAAAAAACATTAATAAGACGCTAGTTTTAACTGACTAAAGAAAAATATTTTTTTCTTCCTCACTCTCTTTCTTTCTCCTCTCTTTTTTTTCTTCCTCTATCTTTATTTCTCTCGCTTCCCCCTATTCCCCTCTCTCTCTCTCTCTCTCTCTCTCTCTCTCTCTCTCTCTCTCTCACACACGGTCTCCTTCTTCAGGTTCCGTTGTGCGAAAGAGAGACATGCATAATCATTTTACGATTGTGACGTAATTGAAATTTGCCTGTCAAAAACCTGCTATTGTCACGGTACAAAATGATTGAAATAAAACGTTTAACGTGACAATCCACAAAAGATATGGGGGGGAAGCATTTTCAGGCCAAACAATAAAAGAAACAAAAATAAAAAGCAACGAAAAAGTTACTTGGGTACCACAGCTGATCTGGGAATTCATCCGGACGCGTAGGCAACGTAACGGTTATTGACACACAAAAAAATGAATTCGTCGTGCTGAATTCAAATTCTGGCTGATGTAGTTTCCCTTGCTGCTAAAAGCCTCAAAGAAAACCACAAATCTACAACCAAAGGGTAGAAATAATAAGGTAAATTGGGTTATCTAGACTTGCTTGGAAAACAATGAAGGGAAAGAACAATCTCTGAATTCCGTCCAGTTTGGTGGCGTCTAGCAACTCCAGTTCTTAAAATGTATTTACTCCCAAAACCGAAGCAGTCTTACCTTGTGTGATTTTGTTACAAGTTTCTGCTACCTGGAAAGTAGAATAAGTTAAAATTACACTGTTATATCCCGTGGCCTATCAGAACAGTTTCCTATCCTTTCTATCGTTTAGTCTTTTCGATATTTCTTTCAACCCCTGCTCCGCCATTAATTCACTCCAGCCTGCCAGGTAGGTTATCAGCTGTTTTCCTCTGTCTTTCTGGCCTTAAATCTGTCCTGTGAGTATCAAATTTTCCGAGCCTTCTTTCCTGGATATGCGCCGCCGAAATTTCAACTGTCGCTTCCTGGTGTTAAGTATGTTTCCTTTTTGTTTCCATTTTCTCTAAAACTTTATCATTGCTCACATGTTCGGTCCATGGTATTCTCAAGATCTTTCTATTGAACCAAATTTCGGCTGCTTCATGCTTCTTCTTCATGAGTGAGGAGATTTCGAACAATCATTGCCATATAGGATGACTGATGTTACGTAACAGTTTAGCACTCTTTGTTTCTGTTGCTTCAAATATCTTCTTCATCTGTGAGAGGATTGTTCAGCATTTACTGCCATATAGAAGGACTGATATTACGTAACAATTCAGTACTCTTTTCTTTGCTTCTATGCTTCAAGTCTCTTCTTCATCATCTGAGAGGAGATTATCCAGCATTCACTGCCATATAGGAGGACTGATATTAAGTAACAATTCAGTACGCTTTTCTTTGTTTCTGTTGCTTCAAGTCTTTTCTTCATCTATAAGGAGATTATCCAGCATTCACTGCCATATAGGACGATTGATATTACGTAACAGTTCAGTACTCTTTTCTTTGTTTCTGTTGCTTCAAATCTCTTCATCTATAAGGAGATTATCCAGCATTCACTGCCATATATGAGTACTGATATTACGTAACAGTTCAGTACTCTTTTCTTTGTTTCTGTTGCTTCAGGTCTCTTCTTCATCAGTGAGAATATTGTCCAACATTCACTGCTATATAGTGGGATTGAAATTACGTAACAAGTTCAGTACTCTTTTCTTTGTTTCTGTTGTTTCAGGTCTCTTTTTCATCAGTGAGAATATTGTCCAACATTCACTGCCATATACGAGGATTGATATTACGTATCAGTTCAACTCTCTTTTGTTTGTTTTTGTTGCTTCAAGTCTTCTACGTCCTCAAATTCACATTAATATTTCTATCAGAATTTAGCTTTAGCGAAGAAGTATTAAAAGTCAATAGTATTATTCCCCCAAAAGAATTCTTTGCTTATAGCATTTTGCCAATAGTCACCCATGTTCAGGCAGGATATGCAAAAGAACTTCCGATACAAATATTTGTGTTTTATAGTAATCTCATATTACAAGATTAATCATTGAACGTCCATTCTGTTGGTGTGTGGCAGCATTAGCAATTGGCCAGTGCAAGCCGATTAGGAAACAGATTTATCTTCCTTTCTCTCTTCTCAGGTCAATATAAATTAATTTCACTTTCATGCCATGACAAAAGTTTTTTTTGTAAATTCAACGAACACTTGTTCGACACTTTTGTGATGTCAACGAATCCTCGTTGTTACTTTCGTAATGTTCATTGTAGTAAAGACTTTGTAATCGCAGATACAACTATAGTAACGCCGTTGAACAGTACTGGTGACAGACGCCTTCGAATAACACACGCACTAATAGCAATTGCTCGCTCGAATAGTAACCACCGAATAGTGAACTGAGTAGAAAAATAGTATAGTAAATAGAGTAGAGAATAGTGGCCCGTATAGTAATAGAGGATAGACTAGAAATGGCGATCGTTTAGGCATCACGCTACTTTCTACGTATGCGTTTCCCTAATAGTCACGTGATCCACTTAATTCAATAATGGGATCGCCTGTGTTTGCTCACTGGCGATCTATGTTCAAACTCAAGTGTCGGCAGAGACACTTTATTCGCATATCACAAGTGTCCATTCTTATCTCACAAACTATATACGCATGAAAGGCAGTTGCAGCCATTTTTTCTCGAAACGTGTTTCACCTAATGTCCTTCTGGAACGGCAACATTCCTCTGTACAGCGTGCGATGAGTAAATTGTCGTCGTTTTATATTTTTTTAATTTCACGCATGTGTGTTGCTTGTTTGTTTCTTTGTTTTTATTTTTGTCGACTGCACAGTATGGCAGGGTCAGTTGGGCACCGTCTGTGAGAAAAAGAGCACCATGACACAATTCACTCCGCTAGAAAGTACATTCATGCTGACATGGCTGCTACATTAGGCGATAACGCTTTATCAACAGTGCAAAAGTGGGCAGCTGAATTTTGGAAGGGAACGAAGAGCCTTGAAGATGATCTAAGGTTTGTACGTCCTTTATACTACCACCACAGAGGAACATATTGATGACGACATGCTATACTGCTTGACCGGGAACTCCAATACGAACATTTCAGAATGTTTGGATATCAATCCGATGACAGTGCAGAGGATTCGGAAAGAGTTGGATGAGTCGAATGGTGATTACGAAGATATGACAGCTCAGAAAACTGGTCGTTCGGATAAGAAAGAACTCCCGAATTTGTTGGTGAGGGTCTCAGACTCAACACAGTGTCATACATCAAGTTCTTTGAGGAGATAGTGCTGCCCTGAGGGAAGAGGGTGGCTGCTGGACTCTGCACCATGCCACTCAAGCAGGAGAACTGTTATACCGGAACATACCTATTCTATTGTAAATAGACTCTTCCACATATAATAAGTAGTACTAGTAGCAGTCGCCAGGGGGCTCAGTGGAGTTTGTGTGTCAGTCGATGTCGGACCCTAAAGTATCAACCACCACAACTAGATTGCTGCGTCATTAACTATTATTTCAAGTTCCTAACGTTTTGTACGTCGAACCTCTTTTATGACCGACTTAGTGAAATACAAGCCTACACTGTGAAAACTACTCTACAACAAGAACCCAGTCATAGCTGTCAGATAATATTTGCGACCACATGTCACCTTACATCTGGCCACCCAACTCTCCAGACTGCAACCCCCTTGATTATTATGTGCGGGGTGCAGTTGAGCGCGAGACCGACAAAACTCATTGTAACACGGAGATGGCCTGAAGGCATGGATTACGGCAGCATTCACCATCTTAAACAATGAGACGGTACAGAAGATTGCAGGAGATTCCGAAGTCGTTTAAGGGTCGTGGTGTAACAAAAGAGAAAATCCCCTACCTTGAAAAAGAGTTCGTGTTTTGTGCGTGGTCTGCCGAAGGTAAACGAAAGAAATTTTTTAGCAAAAAAGCTGCTACTTTAAGTATCAGAGAAACTATGCTAATTTTTTCCCTCACCGTGGTCAATCTGAAAAATCGCTCGATGAATAAAGGCCTTTTGCTTTTGCTTCCCGAGCAGAACGATTGTGAATTTGGTGAGCGATAGTGCCTTTGAATTTCTGACCCCCGTTTTGTTACTACGTTGCCTGCTGGACTGTTCACTACAGATTTTCGATAGACCTTAGTTTTAACACTAATTTTTATTTTCCGATACACTAAACATTGGTTAAATCCAATGGCGATTCTATTGAATAAATTTACTCTTTAGTACTTCAAGATATGTTTGTGTAATTTTGCTAAATATCTCTGTTGAAATGAGATGTCAGCATTATTTTCATTTTTGTAATTTAGACGACAATTCATCCTTCGCACCATGTATATATATATATATATATATATATATATATATATATATATATATATATATATATAAAGGAAGGAATCAACACTATTTCTATCTATCTATCTGTAATATTAACACTATATCTACCTGCATATATATATATATATGTGGCACCATTTACGAGGCAGAGAAAGAAAGAGAAAGAAAAGAAGGCAGGAAGAAATGCGAGACGGATCATAGGTGATAAGCGAACACACACACGGCTAAGAGGCAATAAAAAAAAAGTTATTTTGATAAGTGGCAAATGGCGAAAGAGTGTCATTACAATGACAATGAGATTTGAGTGTGTAGGGAAGTGTTATCTAAGGATATGAAAACAAACTATTGGTACGGGAAGGCATCTTATTATCAACACAGACCACCGGCCAAGGGAAAAATCCAAGTGAAAATGTTATTTCGATAAGTGACGAAAAGAAACAGGCGACTAAAAAAAAGACTTTGGACAGATATGAAAATTAAAGGCCACCTACGAGTAATCGTTGACCGATTTTCCTACTTGGCCTGCGCGAATGGAATTGTGTTATCAAGAAATGTTCGCCAAAGAAAGTCCACTTGAAAACGTTAATTTTGATAATTGACAAAACACAGGTGTAGCTACAGAGCCTTAGTTAGATATGGAAAATTAAAATCCCAAACAAGCAGTCTCGCTAACTAAATTCTTTTCGACAAAACAACTTTTGCCTGCGATAATAAATTTATGTTATCAGGAATATGTGCCGAAGGAAAATGGGTGGGGACCCAGGGGTGTTTTTCTTTCTTCCTTGGAGACGTCAGACTGACTGAAAACTTAGGGATAATTCTTTTTTGAGGCCATGT